GGGGAAAAAGTGCATTGAAACAACAGAAAATTAAAATTAGCCCTAATCCCTTGGATATGCTAATATGCGATTATTTGCAGATGGTTGTCGATGCCGCGGGTTCGTGTTCGTAGCCTGCGGGATACAGTGTGGGAGCGATCTCGCACGCCTGTGTGTGGCGTGAGTGTAGCGAGGCGAATCTTAATTATCCCATCGTGAGCTGCTCCCGGGCAGCGCCCGCCGCCGGGACAAAGCGGAGTCGACGATACGACACCGGGGGCGCAAACGGCTTGATAAGAAGAGCTCGTTCCGTGACCTGCCGCAACTAGGACGGGCTGGGATATAGCCACTGCTTTGCTCACCGCACTGCCACCACCGTTTTCGCGCGTTGGCACTCACATACACATGCCTGTCTGAACACTGGTAAAACTAAGGCCTAGTAATACGCCTTTCGTCAAGTGTACAGTATTTACGACCTTGGAGCGTGCAAGAGCCCATGCGCTCCTTTTCTCCTATCTTAAGGCATATGGGGGAGACTGCCTTGAAGCGTACATTCCTAAAGCTGGTATGCTCTAAAACTGGGCGCCTTTGTCGCCCGCTCCACGTTTTAAGGTTCCAAATGCCCAGTTTCTTGGCTGGGAGCATCTTTGTCGCCTAGTCCCGGGAGAGACAAACCATTAAGGAACCTGCCATCACCTACAGCCCAGCAGTGCCCAAGGTGCCAATGAGAATCTGGGCACAGTCGACCAGGACCTAGGCACCTGTGCATGCTATACCATGGGAGATGGCCAGTTGCTGTGTGATTTATGCACCCCGTGACTGGGTCACAAAGATGCCCAGAGACTGAGTGACATCCCCCCCCCCCCCACCTTTCACCCAAGAAGTGGGGTGGGCGAAAAAGGCGCCCAGTTTCAGAGCATGCTAATTTAGAGTGCAGTTCTATGCTTCAATGAAGCGTAGAACTACGCTTTAGTTTTACCAGTGTACATCTAACTACGCTTACAACCACACGAAGTATTTTGAGCATATGTAAGGCAGAAACTATTTGCGTGAAGAAATAGTTCTCAATTTACGAGGTATTTCCTTTGTATGTAAGCTTATGCATTCTCAAAGTACTTTGCTATGACGAGCTGTTTGTTTTTGTAAAACCCAAAATAGTTCGTAAGGTTTTCAGAGTGCGTCTGGGCGGGAGGGCTGGATTGGCTAATAAACAAGCCCCCTTTCCCCCTCCCGCCCGTCCACTTCCGCGTGGCAGGATGAAGGATAAGCTACCTGTGGAGCGTCTCCTTAATCCCCATTGGCCCCGCCGAAAGCCCCGGCCTTTCCCGGGCGCCGGAAAGGCGGACGGCACTGTAAAAATGTGTTGTCGCTTCACGATGAAAATCGTGGATCACATTTCCATACCGCTTTGCAAAATGATGAAAATGTCATTTTCATCAGAGCTCCCATACTTGTTGCATGGGCGTGACAACTACGTCATCAATAATGTTTTCACGGCATCCTTGGTGGGAAAATTTGCCTTGAAATTGGCACCAAATGTCAACCAACATTTCATTATCTTTAATTTCTGCTGTTTTTCGCTTCATCTACGTTTATTGTATATATTTATTCTTCGTGATTTTCTGATTTTAGCCACATTGCGCCAAAACAACTGGGTGACATGTGTACAAGTTTTAATTTGCTTTCGGGCAGGTTTGGGAGGGATTAACGGAAGGGCGCTCAGGTAGCTTATAATAATGATGTCATAGGAGATTTCCTGCAAGTTTCAACTAAAACCAGGAACCGTTATTCCGTGCTAGAAATAAAACATTCTGAGAGGAAAACCAGTCTCCTGGGCGTCAGACGCACAGTTGAGGTCAACGTTCGATCTCCTTCGGGAGACACGTCGGCACGGCGCCGGGCCGCGACCATAAGAGCAGGCTGGGGTGGGCTCTGCGTCCCTAATATCGTCAGACAATAACAGACTCTCTTTGACTGAGGTCAGCCACGTGGCGGCGCGTCGTCTCCGCGGTGGGAGAGAGAGAGAGAGAGATTGAGAGAGAGAGAGAGAGAGAGAGAGAGAGAGAGACAGGGTGTCTCGAGGGGCGGTCGAACCCACGCAGGGGCGTCTGAGGGGTGGCCGCTTAAAACGCTCAGCCACCGCCATTCCACTGTCTGGCCGTCCGAATCCGAACAGCGCTTCGCCGCTCCGTCCCTCTCGCAATCCCCCCGCCGGGCGTCCCGTGAGAACGAAGATGGCAGAACGGCGACAGCCGGGTTCGGAGGCAGCCCAGCCAAATGGAGACTTGTTCGTCATTGCACGACACCCCAAGAACGCGAAGCTAGTGTTCTACTTCATACGACTATCGTCTCGCTCACTCAAATTCATTTTGACTGCGAAAGAGTTTAAGAGGCTAAGTTCACTGCTGTGAGTGTGAGAGTAGACGTACAAGCGTGCACTAGTTCAAAGAAAGTCACGCTAAGTGAGGGTCAAAGACGGCCGCTCTCGATGGTTATTTCACTTGGAAAATAGGTGTACAATGACTGATGACTGGACTGAATTTACACTCTGATTAGAATGTAAATCTTACGAAATGCGTTACAAAAATGCCGCAAATAGGGCAAATTTACGCGTATGTGCCTGTTTTTTAGGTGACTAGACCGAGACAAGGCAGTGACTGGACGAAGTGACGCACCCCGGCTAGGCCGCTCTCGCTGAAGCCTGCCGCGTGACGCACATGATTGCAAACATTTCAGAGACCCACAAGTTATTGTCAATCACGAGCACTAAGCCAGCATTTCCACGCGACGACGTAGGCTGGCTCTGGAGGAGGAAGCACCACACTCCGCTTCGTGCTAGCCCAGGCCGAAAATGCACACTTAATGTTATGAACAATTTTGTACACGACATCACAGTTTTTTGGGCACACGAAATTTTCGTACAACTTTCGTCCGAGAAACTGCACATTTTTCGCCATTTTCGTACAAAATGGTACAAAATTTTTAACAAAATGGTACAAAATTTTTAACAAAATGGTACAAAATTTTTAACAAAATGGTACAAAGTTTTGTACAAATTTGAACGAAAAGTTCGTGTGTACAAAAACATTTAGCGTATGCGCGAATATTCAACTCGACCAGCTTTGCTGCGCCAGAGAGGTAGGCAGCCGCCTTCATATTTCGCGCGAAAGCCCGGCCAACCCTCATTCCAAATGGTCTCCCGCCCGGCGGGCGTTGGCCGCTTCTTTATTCCCGCCATTATTTGAACGCGCCGCGAAGGTAGGTGCGGGTTCGTATCGGGATTGCAGTTCGCGCCGAGCCGCCTCTGCAGCCGTTGCCGTAAGTCTCCACGCCAGCCGAGGCGTGAAACGGGGCCCGGGAAGGGAGAGTCTCGGACGCAGCAGCACATAAGCCACTGGCCCGCCCCGACTCGTGGAGCAGTTTGTTATATTTTCCCGCGGCCAACACCCCCTCCCCAGTTTCACCTGCTGCGATGGCGAGTGGTGAACTGAAGGCACTGCGATGAGCAGAGATGAGGCCACCCGACCAGCAGGCAGTGCCCCCCCCCTCCCCAAATTTTGCGACAGTACTGCCTGTACAGCAGCAATTTCATGCATCACACTTAGTTTGCTGGACACGGGGTGTGCGTTGTTGATTCAGTGGACCCTGGACAGCCCGGGATACGCCTTTCTACACTTTTCCGATTTGGATTGGCAGTGGCGCACTGTGAAGCGTTTGCAAATTTATTGTCACGTGGTAAATTTCACATGGAGCTTTCCACTGCGACCTCGGAGAAGGTGCTAAGTCTGCTGAATGAAATGGGAAGACTAAAATTGTACCGAACAAAGAAATTCCGACCGAGCATATAAGTAGAGAAATCGGATATTAAAGCTGGAGTGCCCATACCTAAACAATACTGTATCCTCTTATTAGGTACACTCTCAGCCTTTTACTGACTATTTCTCATAAACAGACGCATTTCTGTAAGCAACCATAATAATTAGTATTTTTTGTCAGTATTACTTAGTAATTGCTAAGTACTGTATTGATATTACTGTTTTCTTAGTAAATTACAAAGAAATTTTTAAGTATTTAAGAACTAAATACTAAGTATTATGGTTGCTTACAGAAATACGTCTGCTAATGAGAAATAGTCAGTAAACGGCTGACAGTGTACGCTTTAGAAAAGAAGTGAAACAAGGAAGTCCGGTTTTTATCCCAATCTTATTCTGTTTTCTAAATCGCTTATTTTCTGCAACTTGCAGAAAAACAAAAATACAACACGTAGGACAAAGACGTTGTCAAATTCGGAGCTGTTAGCTGTAAATACTCGGCATCGTGCACCGTTTGTACTCTTAAAAGCCTACGAAGCATTCGCTTCATATCTACGAAGAAAATAAAGGCGTCGTAGAACTGCTTCATATTACGAAGCATTTCTTCGTAGATTTTACAATGCCTTCATTTTCTTCGTATTACGAAGCGATTCTTCGTAGAGTTTTTACTGTGTGAATATCTGCTGAGAACCCAGCTAGGTGATACGTGTCCATTTCGTTCACAATCGGTGCTATTCAGCAGGTCACGAACAGGCTCCAAGACATAAGTACCCCGCTGAAAAGCTATAGTAACACGCACTGCAAGAAAAAGTGTGGAAAGTACAACAAAACTACAACAAAAACTGTACACCACAAGTACAACAGGGATTAGACAATGTACAACGAGAATTGTACAAACCACAACGAGGCCTGGACTGCACAGCACTCGACATGCAGGTCCAATTGTACTTTGTACAACAATTGTTGTACTTTAAAAGTACAATAAATTCCTGATAAAAAATTTGCCAGAAATTTGTGTACTTTCGTTGTGGTTTTTTCTTGCAGTGGGGTATGTGTAAACAGTAACGTCCTCCTCCCGCAAATGATATACTGGACTAAATGAGGACTTTCGAAACACGAACAGAAATGCATTCGATCCCGAACCGCCTCGCAATGCACTCAGCAGAACTTAGCACGCAAAAAGTAAGCAGGAAAGAAAAACGACATACCTGAGATACTTTACTTTATTTCCGTCGAAATATTCAAGCAAAGCAACAACGGAGACACGAATAAGTTGTACCGATTATAGACACTCACAAAGCAAGAAGACACTAACAACATTGTTTTTATTAGTAGATCGACTAACTTACTCCGCAGTTTTATGAACATAAGATTTGCACAAACCTATGCATCTCGAAATGCATGCAATATCGAGCAAAGCTTATGCACATTAAACTTAGCAAGAATTTGGTGTGCACATTTGTAATATATAGGAAAAAAAGTAAGCTACATCACATCTCTCACAAGATCGAAATTAACCGAACAAACAGGTAAAACAAAAAACTTTCAAAAGGCGTGGCAAACGCGACAAAACCTAAAGAAGCAGGTCAGTACGTTTGAATGCAAAACTAAGGTTCGTTTCACCCCCAAAGGATTCGAAGACGTGTTTTGAGGCTGTCTTCAGGGAAAAAAGGAAGCAATTGCAAAAAACACTTCATTAAGACTTATCCCCTGAGTGCGTTCGAAGATGCCATTTGAGAACAGATGCATGGCGGAACATTCTATTGCAAACTGGGCACTCAAAAGGCTTTTCCCCTGTGTGGGTTTTAAGATGATCTCGAAGAGTGCCTGCTTGTCTGAACTTCTGGTTGCAAACTGTGCACTCGAAAGGCTTTTCCCCTGTGTGGGTTTTAAGATGAAGTCGGAGATAGCTTGCTACACTGAACTTCTGGTTGCAAACTGTGCACTCGAAAGGCTTTTCCCCTGTGTGGGTTTTAACATGACCTCGAAGAGTGCCTGCTCGTCTGAACTTCTGGTTGCAAACTGTGCACTCGAAAGGCTTTTCCCCTGTGTGGGTTTTAAGATGAAGTCGGAGATAGCTTGCTACACTGAACTTCTGGTTGCAAACTGTGCACTCGAAAGGCTTTTCCCCTGTGTGGGTTTTAACATGACCTCGAAGAGTGCCTGCTCGTCTGAACTTCTGGTTGCAAACTGTGCACTCGAAAGGCTTTTCCCCTGTGTGGGTTTTAAGATGTTTTCGAAGAGTGCCTGCTTGCCTGAACTTCTGGTTGCAAACTGCGCACTCGAAAGGCTTTTCCCCTGAGTGGGTTTTAAGATGTTCTCGAAGAGTGCCTGCTTGCCTGAACTTCTGGTTGCAAACTGCGCACTCGAAAGGCTTTTCCCCTGAATGGGTTCTAAGATGACGTCGAAGAGTGCCTGTTTGACTGAACTTCAATAAGCAAACTGTGCACTCGAAAGGCTTTTCCCCTGTGTGGGTTTTGACATGACCTCGAAGAGTGCCTGCTTGTCTGAACTTCTGGTTGCAAACTGTGCACTCGAAAAGCTTTTCCCCTGTGTGGGTTTTAAGATGAAGTCGGAGATGGCCTGTTTGGCTGAACTTCTGGTTGCAAACTGTGCACTCGAAAGGCTTTTCTCCTGTATGGGTTCTAAGATGATCCGCGACATGACCTCTTCGATTGAACTTCTGGTTGCACACTGCGCACTCGAAACGCTTCTTCCCAGTGTGGGTTCTCGAATGACTGCTGAGCTGGTCCTTCCCACTACATTTTGTATCGCTATCTGAGCAATGGACAGTCTTTCCTGATGCACTGCTGTTGAGATGCACCGTCGACTCCGGCGCAGGAGAGAATGCTGCACAACTCGAAGAACGTGACTTGACCATGGTCGTATGTCAAAAAAAGACGCCACCTGAAACACGCAATACATAAGAGTAAGTGGGCAGCCTGCAGATAGAGGTTCGCTCCCAGCTTACTGTGACGCGACGACACTATTCGGAGCGTCACGTCACGTTGGAAAGAGCGTTCAAAAATGTCAGGCTCCTGTATGCATTGGGTCACGCTCGCTGTAACGTCACCATGCGCTTTTCAGGCCGCAGTGCGGCCCGCAGCGGGCCGCAATGAAAGCTGGGGAAGAACCACGCGTCCAGGCCGGGCCGGCGACGGCGGCTGGCTCGTCTCCCTGCTGTCGAACGAGTCAAGCGGCCGGCAGTGAGGCTGTCTCTCTCGCACTCCCACGGTTTTATGGGAGGGACAAGGATAGCCAGTGGGCTCGCGCCTCATGATTAAGGACGTTTTTGCAGCTCATGAGGCGAGGTCACATTAAAAATAAATCGGTCGAAATCGGAAGGGGTCGGGAAGGCGTTGCACGTATTAAGAAAATTAGCAGTGCGTTGGTCAAGGTGCGCGCAAAGATAATCTTAAAAAAATTAAAACATGAGGGGATGAGTCGGCACGACATTAGGGGCGAGTCGAGTCTTCGGCCCGGGGCGAGTTAGACTGGGGTCGGAATGTACCCGAGACGAGTCAGCGGGGACGAGTCGTCCGTCGCCCGAAATGAAAACCGGGCTCGACTGAACGGCGACGAAAACGGTCGTTCAGAGGAACGAATTTTTGAATTTAATTCATAGACAAATCCTCGGAACTTTCTTTCTAGCTCTTCTCCCAGGTCACTACAGCGTGTACACTGTGGCAAAAAAGTACGGAAAATTCTGTTAAGTTTTTTGCCAGGATTATCCATAGCCCTCCTATCAATGTTCTCCACAGGCTCTTACAGTATTCTCCGTTAGGCCGCACAGTATTCTCCGCAGGACCACACAGTCTTCTCCGTAGAACCTGGAAGACTCTATAGTCCTACGGAGAACACTGTGAGGTCCTACGGAGAATACTGTGAGAGCCTACGGAGAATATTGACAAGGGGGCTACGAAGAATTACAAGCTGTTTACAGAATTTTCCGTAGCTTTTTGCCACAGTGTACCGCGATTGAAAGATAAATCTGCACCTCACTCACCTAGTGGCGTTGAAGAGTCGACGACTGCCGTCAGGGGAAGGAGTACCGCAGGGTAGAGCCGGAAGCAAATCGGAGCACGATACAGCGGAACGGCGAGTCGAAGTTCTGAAGGTCGAATAAAATCAAGGTTAGAATCGTAAGCGATGCGAATTGTAGCCAAACGAAATCAAGATAAGGTTTGTGGGCAAAGCGACTACCACAGAATGTTCTCCTTCACAACAACGGTCCCGCAAGCTGAAGACTGAAAGTCAAGGGGAAAACAAATTGAATTTTGATGTACGTTTCTCTTGGAATAACCAGGAAATAACGTGAGATAACATTAAAATGACGTCAAAGCACCGTGAAATGAATGGGGTTTGATATAACAGAGAACGAATACTTTCGAAGCTGCAAGCTGAGCAGCTTTGCGCATGCGGATAAATTTTCTTGGGTGGATGACACATTTTGTCACGAAATAGGGAATACCCTGTGGTCAGTGCCACAGACCTAATCCGTGAACTTTCACTCAGTAGTCCGTCTCGATGTTGAGCCTAGTGCAAGTAACCACCATGAGGAAAGAGTAAATCTTAAGTCAACATACCTTCAGTCGTGTCGCAGAGTTGACAGCCGTCAGGGAGCAATCCCGCAGGAGAGCCGGAAGCAGGTCAATGTGCGTCAGAGCAACAGCCAATCGCAGTTCTGCAGGACAAACAAAGGTCAGATTAGAATTTTGAAACGAAACCAAGGTTATACCCTGTGAAGAGTGAGGAAAGAATGGGATTAGAAACTCAAGGTACCTTCCGTCGTATTGCAGAGGCGACAGCCGTATGGGCGAAGCAGTCCCACAGCGAGTAAAATCAGAAGCGAATAGAAGTGCGTCGGACGAACAGCCAATCGCAGATCTGGAGGGCAAATGAACTCTAGGTTAGAAATGCAAGCAATGTGACTGTTACAAACGGCCTTCTTGCATCTTAAAATAAAAGATCAGGTTCAATTACTACAAGGGAGAAAACTTCTGGTCATAAAATGGGGGGCAAATGTACCGCAGGAACAGAATAATCATGACTTCCGGTTTAGCCGATTGTTGGATAAGTGGATGAGAAAGAAATGAGCGGGTCCGAACGGTACTCCAACTTAACTTGGAACGAATGGAGAACAGAAGCAAAACCGCTTCTGTGTATGAGCACATGGATCCTCTCACGATCAAGAAACCCATATTTTACATGGTTACGAACTGAACTCCACACTCGACGGTAACCTACAACTATGCATCAACGATCAAGCGTCTTCTCAACAAAGGGTCCTAATGAATCTTGAAACGGAAGATCTGATGTAAGCCCCAACAACAGCTTTTGAGCGTGCGCAGACGTTCCCGCACCTCCCAGTACGCATGCGCCACGGTTCCCCCACCACCAGGTGAGCATTACCAGAAGCTATTTTGAGGTCTTACTTTTGTTTCTCGTCTTCCGTTTCAATAAAACAATAGAATACCCTATTGTCTTCATGCGGTTCTTGCAGTCGATTAGTACGCTGGGACACCGTGAGAAACTTTCAAAGTAGGTTCCTTTGAAATTGACCACCACCACGGGCGTAAACCCAAAGCTTTAAAAGGCAACGGGCTTCCCCTGGGAAGCGGTTAACAATTACCTGAAGTCAGCCCTCAAACGAAATTTACATTCTTTGGACGTCCGGATCCTCTACTGAAAGTCTCTCACTGGTCTGACTGCACCATACCACATGCTGGCGTATCAGGCTTCTATCATCCATAGACTTGCGTACCATTGTCGCAGAGCTCCACTATACGCAAGAGGGGTAGTTAGAATTAAAGAAGAAGAAGAGAAATAGCAAATCAGCTGCCGCTTGATCATATCAATCCCATATGCTTGTTCTCAAATTTCCTCTGCCTCGTGCAAGAGCAAAAGCTCTCGAGCAGCAAAAAATACGTAAACGAGTGAGGGTCTGTTATGTTCTTGAGGCGGCCAACTTGCAATTTCATTCGTACTTCTTTCAACCGAAATACCTCATTCCCAACCCTTACCCAGTTACGCTGGCTGTGCACAGTCGTCACGTTGTCGCACCCACTGCAAGAGAAGAAGGGTCCGCAGGCTCCTGAACTTCCGCTGACGTGGAAGAGAATGCAAGCTCTCACGTGCTTCGGGCGACGATTGGATCGTTAGTGGTAAGATGACACCCCGAGCATGTGCCCAGTGTTAAGTGCAGGGCATTCCGATGTTGAAACCCTCAGCGTAGACCCGAGAAATAGATGCCTGATCACCAACGTCTTTGTGGCGACGAAGCCGCGTTCGCTGGTGATTGAGGTTCCGTTCCCGATCAAGATTTAGTTGAACACCCTAGTTCGGAGTGGTAATGTTAATGAAACTGCCGGTGTTTACTAGCACGGAATTTTAAGGGGCATTTTACATTGGCCGCGGGATGGAAGCAGGATAAGCCAACCGGTGAGTCAACGACCCAATAGGAATCCGTTAAGGAGGGAAACATGCAATGTGAACAGAGCCTCTTACCGCAGCGCGTTTCAAACAGTTCGCAGATGTTTTCGTTCTTCTGCTGAAATACGATGGGCTACATTTAAAACTATTTCTTGGTCATGCTTAAGTTTCTCTTACTTCCGGTGCAAAGACACTGGTCGATGACTACGCACTTCGCTCTTGACAGGGGCTTCTTTCTAGGGAGGGGTGTATACCAGGTAGAGGCCGTCCTTCCAAGGCGTATTGTAACGAATCCCTAGACCGGAAGTAAAAAATCTACAGCAAGACCGGTTCTGCGCATGCGCAGACGTCCGCCCTCCACTGGGAAGTAAGCGTCTGAGCATGCGCGGAAGTGGTTTTGGTTCTTACTTCTTTGACTTCCGGTCCAGAGATACGATAAAATACCCATTAGAGTCACGTAGTTAACGCATGGTCAACCACCCTCCACACAAGCCGGTGTTACGCTGGACCACGTGCCACCCCCTCCTCCTGCGTAACGTTTCGCAAAATTTGTCATTGTAAGCAGAATTCTTACCCTCATGTACTGATTGCTTGTCATTAAGTGCTCCCACACGTGGTGTCTTACGTAACGGTAGTACACTCTAAATGTTGTACAGTGAAGATTCTCCATATTATGGTGAAAATGTTCCATATTATGGTGGTGCAGCTGACTTCGTAACATACCATTAAGAATTCACTGTACCGTATAGAGATTTTGACGAATTTCGTTGGTATTATGGAGAAAATCGCCACCATATTATGGTGGTGCAGCCTTTCACCATAAGACATTTACTGTGTATCCAATAGTAGGGATCGCAGCAGGGGTCACTGCTTGCTGTGAACTTCTCTTAGACCTATGCTTGCGATCAGAGTTCGGCTTTTGACGGTTTACGCTAACGCACTATTGGTGGCGCGCGGCTGGATCCTGACGGTTTGAGTACTTTCGTTCACTCTCAGACTCGTATTGACTTTTTATCTGTTGCCATAAAGGTTTTAGTGCAAACGTAATATGTCCTATTTTCTCTTTGGCTATGCACTATTTTGTTCATTGTATAATGTTTAAAGTCCCATTAAACCGGACTTAATGTCATTTGCAATATACTTTTTAATTTCTACATGATCTATTGACAATTATATCCCGGAAACGATCAAAATTGTGCATAGTTACGGAGATAATAGTACATTTGACGTTTGCTCAAAAACCGCTATAAGCAAGAGAGAAAAAAGTCCTTATTGGTCTGAGCGTTAGAGGGGTTCGTTTTGCACGAAGTTTCGAAATGTCATTGGGCCCGCTCGGATTCCGGTTCTACGTCCAATTATAAGATTTTTGACACCTTGGTCGACTTGATCAGACCACCGGAAGGGGTCGCACCAGGCCTCGGAAGTTCCTGTCGACGGACACGCCGGTTGCCGACTTTCCAGGGGCTAAACACGCGTAACGCTTCGTTTCCCAGAAAATTTCATAAAATGAAAGTTGCTGGAAATGTAAAAGTACGTTGGAATCAAAATTTTGATATTCAAAAACTCAAAAAAGTCGAACTTTTGTTGCCTACTTACAGGGGGCAAAAGGTCGGAAATCTATATTAAACACGTTACACATAGGAACTGTTAGACAAATGTATGTAGGTTAGTAAAAAACAATTATATTTAAGTACACTTCGGCTTCATATATTTATAAATAATGTTTTTGTACCATTATGCAGATTATGGTTACACAGTTCACTAACGCTGCCTAAAGAATTTGCTAAGTTCATCACATTTACAATCCACTGTTACAACGAAGAGGAGACGCTGCATTTCTTCTTCGTCGGTGGTAATCTCGTTTCCCTCGATGAGCCTGGTAACTCATTGCAACCCCACGTCATCTGATTTATTTACATTGTTAAAATTTGAGACCATCTCTGTGCTCTCCTAAAAGTTTATGTCAGTATTCAAGACTGGTGTTCATCTACCTAGCTTGTTATGTTTCTCTTTAACATCGAAGTGATCTTCGAGGAAAATAAAGGCTAAGAAACTACATTTGACGTAGGCTGCTACGATGAGCCACCTGTTTTGGCCTCAGTCACCCTGGCTGACACTGTGAATGCAAGCAATTCTTGTGGTTTTTTAAAGCTACGAGGTAAGCAACTAGCTTTCCGAAAAGAGATTCCTTAGTATTGAATACTGACATAAACTTCCAGGAGAGCACAGAGATGGTCTCAAATTTTAACAAGGTAGGTTTACGCCAGACCGCGTCTTGTCGTAACAGGCTTCGCGATGTCTCGCTGCCTGTTCCTCCAATCCACGCCTGGCGTACCTACCTTGGCCTGCGGCGCTAGCCTGCCTGCGGCAGGCAATGGCTTGTCCGTTGTCGGTTATTTTTTAACTTGTTGAATGCTGGGGGGCTCCGCCCCCCAGACCCCCCAACATTCTAAACAGAGTTGTTTTATCTACAGATAACACGATCTTGACCCTTGTCACTTTTTAACTTGTCGAGGCTGGGGGGCCCCGCCCCCCAGACCCCCCTTTCTCCAAGACAGAAGTGGTCTATCTGCAGAAATCTCTATTTTTCGCCGTTTTTTAGGTGTTTTTCGCCTATAAAAACTGAACCAGTTGAGCTAGGATGGTGAAATTTCGCGTGTGCCGAGCCAAGGACATACCCAAGAAGTGTGCAAAATCTCACCGAGATCGGCCGAGCCGTTCAGGAGGAGTAGTGCGGACAGACAGACCGACAGACAGACCGACAGACAGACAGACCGACAGACAGACAGACAAAACTTTTCAACCCCACTGGAGTAACAGGCTTCGCTATCGCTCAGCCAACAATGTAAATAAATCAGATGACGTGGGGTTGCAATGAGTTACCAGGCTCATCGAGGGAAACGAGATTACCACCGACGAAGAAGAAATGCAGCGTCTCCTCTTCGTTGTAACAGTGGATCGTAAATGCGATAAACTTAACAAATTCTTTAGGCAGCGTTCGTGAACTGCAACCATAATCTGCATAATGGTACTAAAACATTATTTATGATATATGAAGTCAAAGTGTACTCAATTATAATTGTTTTTTACTAACCTACATACATTTGTGTAACAGTTCCTATGTGTAACGTGTTTAATATAGTTTTCCGACCTTTTGCCCCCTGTAAGTAGGCAACAAAAGTTCGACTTTTTTGAGTTTTTGAGTATCAAAATTTTGATTCCAACGTACTTTTACATTTCCAGCAACTTTCATTTTATGAAATTTTCTGAGAAACGAAGCGTTACGCGTGTTTAGCCCCTGGAAAGTCGGCAACCGGTGTGTCCGTCGACAAGAACTTCCGAGGCCTGGTGCGACCCCTTCCGGTGGTCTGATCGAGTCGACCAAGGTGTCAAAAATCTTATAATTGGACGTAGAACCGGAATCCGAGCGGGCCCAATGACATTTCGAAACTTCGTGCAAAACGAACCCCTCTATCTGAGCGTGCTCCTCTCCGTTGGCGATGATTAGAAGGGTCTATGGATTCTCCAATGAATCCGGTAGCGGAAGAAGAACAATCGTTTGTCCTTAATGGGCATGCGTATCAGTGGTGGGGGAACGTCTCCGCACGTCTTGAAGCTGTTTTAGGGGCTACTTTTGTTCTTCCGTTTCAAGATTCATTGGAGTACCGTCTACACTGACTCCATACCTTTTACCGCTTGGCCTGACTCGCTGTGACCACGCCTGCGGTTGTCGTGACCTGATGTTGTCCTGCCAGAAGCTCAGATTGTTCGGAAACAACGCTAATGCGATCCTTCCTCATTCCAGAAGTTGCTGCTTCGATCCGCTGGACGACGCCGGCGGACCATCTCTTCGACGCGGCGACTGCAGTGTTCCGTGCTCACTTTCAGTGCGTCTACAGCAGCGGCACTCCACGTCAAGGTATTCTTGTAGGGTTAGATCGTTTACTACTTTATGGTTTTTTCATCACGTCCGACTGATGACTTCTTTATCCCAAATTTACGACCTTTCCATGAAAGTTCCCATACTGATTGCGTGGTCGTGACAACTTGGTCATCAACTGGTTAGTTAAAATTATTCGATTGGGACGCGTCGATTTGATCAGTTCTGAGTCCGGTCTGAAGCGGGTGCATTCTGAGAGAATATTGTGTCAGTGATGTAATTTTTACTCGTTCTCCACCCTTACTCTTGTTTGTCGTGTCCTTGTAAATGTCTACCAATGCTGTTCCCTCCTGAATGTCTCGCGGGTAGATATACTAGGTCAGTATTTTGGCTTGAGTTTTTCATGTCTCAGGGATGTTACGGTCTCAATTAGGTCTGCAATATTTTGCGATGATTTCCACTTCGGTTTCGCGGTCATCAAAGACTTTGTATGCTTAATATTGCATCTTAACCATGAAAATGTGCGCGATAATTATTTTTTTTGTAAAATTGGGCAGTCGGCGTAGCTTACTGCTACGAATAACAGTGTCGTGTTGCGTTCAAAGGGGAAACATGTTAAATTTTTGTGAATTATGGCGTACTTTCCTTGGAATGACAACGTCAAATATCGTGGAAATGACGAGTATTAACGGCGTAGTAACTTGTACACTGCTATCCGGAGTGCGATAATGAACTCGTTTTAAATGCAATGCCATTTTCATTGCATCATTAGCGCAATGAAAAAGTTCTTGCACCATAAGTGTCATAAATATCTTATGGCGTGGTATGTTACAACTTTACTACGTCTTAAATGATAATCTGGGCCGAAACCGACCAGCATGCAAAGAAAATCATTGCATTTTTAACGCGAAATTTTTTTATTGCTCAGATGCCACAAGTTGCAGGAATCACATTGGCCTAACTGCTTATCGTATGAAATTTATCATGTCAGAAACAAGGGGAAATCACTGTGAATTTCGGTGTACAAATCCGATAAATTTCGATAAATTTCAGTCAAATTTCGATTTATTTCAGTCGAATTTCGATCAATTTCAGTCGAATTTCAGTCGAATTTCGACGATTTTCAGTCGAATTTTGATGAATGTTACGTGAATGATGAATTTCGGTGTACAAATTCGACTGGAGTTATTTCCCCTTGGTCAGAAATACCAGTGTAATGACTTGCATTCGAAGCGACGGCGTTTCGATGTTGTTTGCCTCTCGGTCGCGTCGTACTGCAGACCGATTCCAAGAGTCGTTTGCATCGCTCTGTCTCTCGCGCTCACGGGGCGTCCCCTACAGGTGCGAGAGAGACAGAGCGACGAACACGACTCTCGGAATCAGTCTGCGTGGAGCCGGGCTTTTGAAGTCTCCGCGTACCGCTGTGTGTAAGTTCCTGGAGCGAGGTGCGTCTGGCGGCCGAGAGGGAGTCCTGGAAAAGGGCGAGGCGGAGCGGGGCGGATTGGCAACGGGGACCAGCACAGTGTAAGCCGCAAGGAAATCCCTCCAGTCGGAGCATGCCCCGGGCGATCCTGTTTTAAACGCGACCCTTTGGCGGCGAGTCCGAGTCGCAAGGCTCAGGGCTGCTGCCGGCCAACCCTTGCCCTCTGCGCGCCCCGCCGCCGTCTCTTGCGGACACATCTTGGTCACCGACTCCACTTTTACTCATTAAAAACGGAAAAGGAACATGAGGGAGTGCGCGGGGGGTAACGTTTTTCATGAAGTACACGGACGCGCTCAGTCTGAATTTGCGAAAAACAATGGGGAAAAGATAGGTTTTTAAATGGGTTATGAAAGGTCTGGCTTGAAGATGTCTAAGAACCATGTTACCTGCACTGTAAGGGGGAGTGTTGTGTTGAAACCTATTTCATTAACATGTAACGTGCCTGGCACCTAATTTTATAGACCACCGGAAATATCTCCAGTAATATCTCTGAATTCATTCTTCTTTATTTTGTACTGTTATCGTTGCTATCACACGGCAAAAACAGCGTCCGGGTTTCCCAGGCGCACCCTGGAAAAATGCCCTGTTTTTTCCAGGTTGCGCCTGGGAAACCCGGACTTTGGTTTTGCCGTGCACTTTAATAGTCACATCAGCAATCAGGTTGGTCCTGGCTCCAAAAGTAGCGAAAACGAAGTGGCTGCTCGGAGCGAGGAGGCAGTTTCTGTTGGACTGTGATTGCTACCGTAGACCGAGGTAATATGAGACAATTTCGGGGTAATATGAGACGCATGATTCTTATCGTTAGAATTATGATGCTTGTGGCATTTGATGACTTATCCCTGTCAAACTTCACGGCGAAAAATGGTACCAATCAAGAGTAATAAATTTTTTAGAGCAGTGGCTCTCTTTGTGGCCTAATAGCGAGCTCAGAGTGAATCTTACGCAAACCAAACTCCGTCTCATATTACCCCGAAATTGTCTCATATTACCCCGGCTTACGGTATTCTTTTTGGAGTGTCCCCGTTCCCCTCATCCTGTCTCGGTCGCCTGCAGTGGACGCGGTGAGGGAGACCCGCGGCGAACGCGAGTTTTACTCGGAACGAAGTTAGCTGCTTGGGGCAGCGCGGCTGAAAAGAGTCGGTACCTTAACCGGCGGAACCGGCGGACCAGGAAAGACCGTAACGAAATGAAGAGATAGAGACGAGAGACGTCGCGGGCTCACCTACACTGTTTAAGTCGCACGGTGAAAATTCTTTCCAGTGCAAGCCGACCTTGTGACAAACCTCAGAAAGTTCACCGCACTTAAAAGACATTTCGTCGAATTTCTTTCTTCACTCTCATTCCAGGAATGTGATCACGTTGAAACGAACGTGCTAAAGTGTCACGTTCGTTTGGGCATTGTGTCACGTTCGTTTGAATGTGAACAAGCTGATTTTTGGCCAATTCACACCCAAACGAATGTGACACAATGCTGAAACGAACGTGACATTTTGTCACGTTCGTTTCAACGTGATGTCGCGTTCCTGGAATGAGAGTGTTGATGCGGAGGAAATCTTATTATTTTATAGTCGGTGCAGCATGTTACCGTATGACATTAACAGTGCAGACGCCTTATGGCGGGCCAGCCCGCGGGCCTCGCGTGTGCTGCGGCACAGCCTACCCCCGACTTCGCAGGCGCTAGGCTGCCAGGAGGCCGGGTCGGCAGTGCGCACGCACTGAGATTCTAACCGCTATGAACATAGAACGTGTGGTGAATTGTGATATCGCACACGCTTTACACCCTACCAAGTATTTTGAGCACATGCAAGGCGCAATCTATTTTGTTTGTTATACGAAGAAATAGGTATTCAATTACGAAATATTTTCTTTGTAAGCTTATGTATGTACAAAATACTCTGTTCTAATATGCTGCTTTTCTTTGCGAGGTCATAAATAGTTTGTCACGTTTTACCAGAGTGCGCCGTTCTCTCCCGTCGCAAGGGTTTGGTCAACATCTTACACGGTTCCTGGTTTTGCAAGGAGCTCCCTGGAAATCACCCATGCCTTCATCATAGCCTTCCTGCGAAAACCAGAAACTGTTTTTTTGCCGTGTACGCCCTCCATCCACTCGCTCTAATAAAGAATGGATGTCATATTGGGTGGGAAATCAAACGCGGGTCGGCGTGTTTACAACAGCTTTAGGCAACGCCGGACAGACCATTTGCCGCGTGCGTACACCATGTTGACGTGAGTGCAGTTTGACATGAAGGGGGATGGGGGGCTCATTTCAGTGCACGCGTCCTCCCTTTTTGATCGGGGACGCTGCAGCCTTTTACATTATCGCGGCTGTCCATATTGCGAGGATCTCATTTTGTGATTTCTGCGCGCTTGCTTGTGTGTGTGTGTGTGTGTGTGTGTGTGTGTGTGTGTGTGGTTTGGACCAGCTAAAAGCGCGTGCGTCCACACACCCACACACGGACTACACGGTAAAAACGGTTCCTGGTTTTCCCAGGAACCCCCTGGAAATCGCCTATATCTTCGCCATAGGGCTCCTGGGAAAACCAGGTACCGTGTTTACCGTGTAGGGTCACTCGTTATGTTCCGTTTTTATGCAAAACAGCCCTGTGGCGACGGGCTGCACGTCGGGGGCCCCGGCGCGGGAAAGGGGGCGGGGGTGCAAGAGGGGCGCCAGCCTGGACCGCGGAGCTGTGCGACCCAAGCCAGGGCCAACGGGTGCCGTCAAACTTGTGGATGCATCAGGGTTGGCCGGGACCAAGGCGCACATGGCGATTTCTCATGCTGGGGCAAGGCGGGCTTAATGGAGGGACTGAGAGTAGGTTGATGGAACGGTCTGTTGGATGTGACACTATAGATAAAGTGAGTTTTAATGTCCCAGAGGAACATGCGTGGCAGGTGTTGTCTTCGCAACTTTTGACGCTGAACTGGTCGTTGCAGACTTTTTCGGAGAGTCGTTTTTTGTCGCTCTGTCTCTATCCCTCTCGCACTGATGTGGCGCCCGTTACGGGTGCGAGGGAGACAGAGTGACGGTAAGGACTATGTGGAGCAAGTGCCACGTCCCTGCTGGAATGAATTCTCCTTGAATGGAAGCCCACCCCTGTGGAAAATGTGAAAGACAAGTGCAATGGTAACCGAAAAGAAGACACAAATCCTGGTGCAACATGACTGAGGTGTGTGTGTGTGTGTGTGTGAGAGAGAGAGAGAGAGAGAGAGAGAGAGAGAGAGATGCTGGCGTCGCTTTCAAGCCTTACCGCGTCCTTCAGGGCGAAAGGCTCTGCACCGAATCGTGGCCCTTTGAGAGTTTACTCGAATTTCACAGTAGAGGCGGCCGCCGGCAAAGGGTGGCTGGACGGGGGTCGGCTGCCTCATTAGGGCGGACTGGTCGCTCTTTCTCTCTCGCACTCGTGGCGCGTGCCGTAGGGCCCGGAGAGAGAGGGCGCGCCGTGCATGGTCGCAATCACTACTTGCTTAGTGCAGTGCAGAACAACCTTCCCCAGTGCCGGCCTGCTTGTCCGTCCGAGCTCCCCTCACAGCCTCAGCCTGCCAGCCCGCCGGAGCGGTACACGTTACGTCTGCCGGCCTGATGTCTGTTAATTTCTGTCAGCTCGCTGCGGTCCGAGACGCTGACGCTACTAGTTGTGTTTTCTGGTCGATGCATCGAAGCTCTACCCCCGACCACCTACAAGTCATTCGGTCTCCTTCCATTCTTCATTTTGATATCACATTCTCACTGCGCGTGACCAGAGGTGGACAGTCCACTTAACATTTTTCGTGAGTTAACTGTCACGTTTCTGCTATAGGGAAAACTTCGCTGGGGTCGATTCTCCCTTAGTGGGTACGAGTTTGCGTCGCTTGTACACGGTAAAAACGGTACCTTGTTTTCCCAGGAGCCCTATGGCGAAGACATAGGCGATTTTCAGGGGGTTCCTGGGAAAACCAGGAGCCGTTTTTACCGTGTACACAGTCCCCATTTCCTACTGAGAAATGTCGTGCAGTCCTAATACTGAGCTAATTCGCGGTATTTTACGATACAAATCTGTCATAAAACACTTCCACTACCCTACTGAGTTTTTCCTCGTAATACGAACGAAAAGCTTAGTATTATGACTGCGCAGCGAAGGTAGAAACTTACGATAGTGACTTGTGGTTCCGTGCGTCACCCAATGAAAGGGCAATGGTGATAATTCACCCTCAGTGTATAATAGTCATCGTCTGAAGAGTAAGATGGGAACTCTGCTTACAGCTGCCAGAGCCTGCTGCTGGTGACTCATTGGAATCTGCTGAGAAGTTGCGTCCATTGGGGTGTTGCGTCGCCAGCAGAGAAATCACCATTGAAGTAAGTCATGTCTATAAGCCTTGGTGAGGCATACTTTTTAAAGTTACATTTGCAGAGTATGTACACGCTTAAAATCTACGAAGTATTTTCAGCATACGTAAGGCACCAACTGTTAAGTTTGTGTTACGAAGAAATGGTTTCTACGTCACGGAATATTTTCTTTGTAAGCCCACGTTTGCTCAAAATACTGTGTTATAGGGTATGTAGCTACATACTTTACTTCGTAAGGCTAAAAGTAGTTCGTAATGTTTTCAGAGTGTAATCTGGCTGAGACTCGAAAAGTCAAAAGTGGCAGTTCGAAACTTGAAATGCGGGATCCACCGTGCCGCGCACATTTGAAATGTCATGTGGTGTTTCTGACTTCCGCTCTGGTTCGTCTTCGTCCTGGCCACCTTCGACGTTCCGCTGTTAGTTGGTGTACAGCACTATTTGAAAGCACGTTAAAACGTTAACATGCGTGGCAAAGAAGTACTTTTCCATTGGTTTTTGGAACGGCCCTTACATACTCTGAAAAGGTTGCGAAAAATACAGTGCGCATTGCAAAGAAATTTCTTCGCAGACGTCAGTGAAAACACGGTCATTGAAAAGCAAACATTTTTTTTCGCAAGCGTATGAAGAATTTTCCTCAATGCAAAAATTATGTTGTGGATTTACAACGGAATATTTTACGAAGGTTTTTGGGAATGTCCAAAAGTGCACTGTAAATGTTTCTTTCCTTCAGGAACTTTTGTAAATCAACGGAAGTTCGTCGTTAATTTACTAAGGTTCTTAGTAAATTTACGAAGAAAAATCGTAAATGTACAGAATCTGTTGTAAATTTACGAAGGGCTTCGTAAATTTACGACGGGCTTCGTTAATCTACGACGGGTCTTCGTAAATCTACGGCGGACCTTCGTAAATAAACGAAGGAACTGTTGGAAAATATTTTGCCGAAGGATCCGTTGTTAATTCCAGACGTATAATTACGAGGGTTCTCTGTATATTAACGAAGGTTCTTCGTTCATTAACGAAGGTTCCCTGTAAATTTACGAAGGATCTTTGTAGATTTACGAAGGTGCTTCGTAAATTTCCATTGTGATTGTAAAATCGACAGAGATCGTTCAAAAAATTAACAAAGGTTTTTGTAAATATACGAACAGCTTCGTAAATTAACGAAGGAACCGTTGGCAATTTTTTTGCCGAAGGATCCTTCGTTTATTCCGGACATTAATTTTTACAGTGCTGTAAGTTTGCGTATTAAGTTCTTCGTAGATTTGCATGGAAATTTCGTTGTAAACTTGCGGAGGACAAATGGCCGTCCTATTGTGTGATAACAAAGCGATCATAATATGTTATAGAAGGAATTCAATTTTAAGATAGATAGACGTATATTTGTGCCATATCATTCAGATGTGAAAATGACGGCTTACATTTTACGCATGAAATTAGGTCGCAAGTTACGAGGAAATGTCTCAAATTGTTTCATTCGTAGAGTTGGTTTGCTAGGTGCTCACAAATTTGTTTGAAGCCCAAAGTATTTGTTAACTTTATTCGTAAGCGTGCAAAGAAATTTCTTAACATTGCGAAGAAAACTGGCATGTCTTATTTAAGTTGCATCATCCGATCCTGTCATGTTCAGATTGGAATTTAATTGGTGGATGCTCTTCTGGATTCCAGATTGGTAAGTGCAATTGGATTTTTGGCCCGCTAATGCTCGCGTGTACTAGAGTTTCCCTTCAATGCGCAAGATGGTTGTGCATAGCCGCATTGATGCCGACAAGAACCCTCTCCAGTGCAAATTTTGTCATAAGAAGTTCCAGAACGGTAAAACACTTTCAGCTCATTACCAGATCCATACAAAAGAGGAACTGCACGAATGCGTCGTTTGCTCTAAGAAGTTGAGTCGTAAAGATTCTCTCAAGATTCATCTAAGAACCCATACCGGGGAGAAGCCTTTCGAATGCACAGTTTGCAAGAAGAGGTTTTCTTCATCCAGTGGTTTCTTGACTCATGCAAAAACCCACACAGGGGAGAAGCGTTACGAGTGCATGATTTGCAGCAAGAAGTGGAGTGCATTAAGGGACCTCAAGACCCATCTTAGAATCCATTCTGGGGACAAGCCTTTCGAGTGCAACGTTTGCAACAAGAAGTTTAATCAAGGAAGTAATCTGAAGACCCATCTTAAAACCCACTCGGAAGAGAAACCTTTCGAATGCACAATTTGCAGTAAGAAGTTTAGGTTTAGAAGTAACCTCATAGACCATCTTGTAACTCATAAAGAGGAGCGACCTTTCAAGTGCACAGTTTGCTCTATGAAATTTAGCCTAAGACAAAGCCTCAAAACTCATTTGCAAACGCATCTAAAAGGGCCCAAACCTTACGAGTGCACAGTTTGCAGTAAGAAGTTTACTGCAGTGGGTGGCCTCAAAACTCACCTTTCAGTTCACACTGGTGACAAGCCATTCGAGTGCGCTGTTTGCAATAAGAAGTTCAGGACAGGGTGTGAACTCAAAATTCATCAGAGAAATCACACGGGGGACAAGCCTTTTGAGTGCAGTGTTTGCAACAAGCAGTTCAAGCAATCGGCCCATCTCAGAAGTCACGTTAAAACGCACACGGAGGAGAGGCCGTTTGAGTGCACAGTTTGCAAAAAGCAGTTTAAGCAGAAGGATATTCTTAAGTCTCACCTTCAAACTCATACCGGCGAAAAGAAATTTGAGTGCGTAGTTTGCAATAAAAAGTTTAGCCGATCTTTCGTCCTCAAAACTCACTTTAGAACCCACACAGGGGAGAAGCCTTTCCAGTGCGCGGTCTGCAATCACAAGTTTGCTGATCGAAGTGACCTAACCAAGCATTCCAGAGTTCACACAGGGGAGAAGCCTTTCGAGTGCACGGTTTGCGGGAAGAAGTACAGTGAAGCACGTGCTCTCCGAACTCATCTTAGAAGCAGCCATACAGGGGAGAAGCCTTTTGAGTGCACAGTATGTGATGAGAAGTTTACTTCAGCAGATCACCTGAGGCGTCATCTAAGAAGAACGCATACAGAGGAGGAGCCTCTCTAGTGCACAGTATGCCATCAAATATTCACTGTATCAGGCCATCTTAGAACCCATAAATGGAAGCAGCCATTTGAGTAAGCTCGCCCGCCAAAATGAAGCAGAAAGTTCTCTCGAACGTCCATCAGCTTCAGGGATTAGGCCCCACGGAGTGCACTGACACCATTGAGTTTCTTCAAGGATCTCATCAAAAAATTAAGGCAAGGGTGGGGTTAAACCTGGTGCACCAATTATTGTTTGAAGGTATTTTGTGCTCAGCAAACGTATCATAAAACTTCCTGTAAACTTTGTTTTGATCGTGGTCAGTGTTCAGTGAACATTGTAATTAGAGTTAGTCGGCTTTAAAACCATTTTTTGGAACTTTATTCCATGCCAAATTGGTGTGAAGTTTAAAAAGATAGTATCTGCATCGACTGCTCCAAGGTGTAATGTTAATTTTGTTTTAATGAGCCCTTTGGCGTCACTGTGCGCAAAAAGTTACTTTTCTGTTCATATGTGCAAATAATTTTTGGAGGGACGTGAGACCCTATGTGTTATCTCTTAAAAATCTTATCGATAGCTACCTTTTCATTTCTCTTGAGTGTTTCTTGTGTGTGTTTCTACAGGTATCATTAGTGATTGTTTTGAAAACTTTTGTTAGTTTCGTCAATCGTAAATATATATATTTTTTTTGTATTGTTACTTGATTAATTTGTGGGGGCTTTTTTGCCGGCCAAAGATATTGTTTTTGTTTTCAAGATGCTGCAGCTGATCCACTGTTCTTTGCTTATTTACAGGGAAGCAGAAGATATGCATATATTTTCAAATGTTAGTTATTTTTGAGAAGTGTTTTGACTAATTAAATTTGACATAATGTGGCGTTGTGGCTCGAAAAATATGTTAGACGTCTCTCTAACCCTCCACCCCTCATAATCTTTTTTTTGTGTATCAGAACAAGCAGAAGAGCAGGTGTTACTGCGCCATGGCGCCTCCGAACACACTCTACTCACTAGCTCATTTGGGAGCAATCTGGCGGGGACCAGGAAGTTCGTCTTCGTGTCGGTGATCCATTTGTAGTTTCAGTGGAAGTTATTACTTTCCACGAAGGTCTTGACATTCGCACTCACCATGTTACTGACTTTTTTCTTATGAATTACGTATTTGTATAAGCAACAATAATACTTTGTACTTCCTAAGAAAGTATGATTAATGTTGCACAAATTACTCACATAAATACTCACAAAATGAGTAAAAAGTCAGTAAAGTGCTTAGAGTGCGTCCTCGTCTGGTGCATTGAAACTTGGAGAGGCGTACTCAGTCGAATAGAGGCGAGGTGGGCGTCTTGAGACGGCGATAGCAAGCAGCGCGGTGACGCAAATCTTCTCGCACAATGTTTTGTCTCAGCCTTGCAGCCCGATGCGAACAGTAACTTAGTTAACGAGGGTCCACCATTGGGTGCGACCAGCTACCCACTCAACCCCAGGCGGGTCGCACCCGCCTCAAGTGAGGCCACTGTGTACGAGACAGCACGTCTCCCCGGGTGGATTCGTGGCGTGGCAAGCGGCCGACCAGGTGCCAGCGGCAGACTGATTCCGAGGGTCGCGGGTTCGTCGCTGTGTCTCTCTCGCACTCATGGGGCGTTCTCGTGGGTGCGAGAGAGAGAGAGAGAGAGACAGGGAAGAAAACGTATCTCGGAATCGGAGGGCACAGAGGGGTAGGGACCTCCGCCGAAACTGATTGGTGCGCACGGAGTACCAGAGCAAAGTGAGTAGAACCCCGGACTGGAGCTCGCACCTTATCCCCCCCCCTCTCTCTCTCTCTCTTCTCTCTCTCTCTCTCTCTCTCTCTCTCTCTCTCTCTCTCTCTCTCTCTCTCTCTCTCCAACCCTTCCTCCCTACGGAAACTGTGCGCTATCGCACAGCCATTCCCGTCATTCATTTCGGTCATCTTCTCGATCGTGTGTGTCTTCTTCTTCTTCTTCTATACCACTATACTACTACTACATTCTTCTTTTTTGTCGTCCTCTTCTTCCTCTTCTTCTTCAGTTTACGTCTGCTCTTGTCCCGGGTGCGAGCAACCAGGCGCGCGTTACCTGGACCTCCCTAGGACCCGGGCGCGCCAAATTTATACCAGCAAAATTGCCGTCAGTGACCGACTATTAATTATCCGGGGCGAGCCAGCAGCAGCAGCAGGGAGAATCCGAACGGTTCATCGCTGCCTTGTCTCTCTCGCACTGCGGCGCTTTGTTGACGCGCGAGCGAGAGAGAACGCGGGAGCACTGTTGGGAATCGGCCCGCAGCAGCGTCGGGCTGTACCTAAACTAGTAGCGTATGAAGTAGTAGTAGAAAATGGACGGGGGGGGGGGTGTGCAAACACGACGTGCACCGTAGCGACCTGACAGGAAAGGTTCCCTGCCTTGTTATCCAGTAGACTGATTCCGAGATTCGTCGCTCTGTCGCACTCGTGGAGCGTTCCGTGCAGGTGCGAGAGACAGAGCGACGAAAACGACTCTCGGAATGCGTCTGCCGAGGCTGGCGTGGGGCGGGCCCTCCACCCGCGAGTGCATTATTAATCGCAACGTAATTGTAGGCGAGGTTGGTAATAACCGGTGTGTTTAAGCAGGACGGGGTGAATTGGTGGGGTAAAGCGAACGCAGTGGCGACCGAGCACGCGCAGATAAGGATATATAGTTGTGCCGCTGTGTCAACCTCATTACCTGGCCGCAAATACTGATGAACGCCCCTCTGGAGTCGGCCGGCCCGTCCCGGCATGGCCCTGGCACGGCTAGTGCAGCGAACGGTCCCACCGGGAGGTTTGGAAGGCAATGACTCGGGGCACACTTGCTGCTATACGCGTACTTGACCAAGGGCACACAGCGCAGGTGTCTCTCCACTGAGGAAAACTGGCTCGCCACGGCAAACACACCAGTTTATTTGCAGTTCAAATGTACAGAATGTTACAACCTCACTGTGAAAATTTGAGTCGTTACTTGCTGGCACTTTCAGAGCTAGTTTCTCTTGCAACGTCATCAAAACAATTTGACATTGTTGTCACATCCATGCAATAAGTAAAGGAGCTTTGATGAAAACGTCATCAATTTGTTATGCGATCATTTGAAAGTGGTGAAAATATCCAAAAATTTGTCAGAAGTGACAACAAATTTTCACAGTTGTCACAGCAACAGCAGCAGTACCACAACTAGGAGAGCTGTAGTTTGCTGTTCTCCAAGTGTGTAGCATCCCCACTTGCTGCCTTCCAGTTTCGGCCAGTCCCAGGGATCCGTTCTACCAGTCGCCCTGATTAATGAAAGGAAAGGGGTAGGTAAATTAAAAAGACGACTTTGGGAGAAGAGGTGCTATATTTACTCACCCAAATGCCACCCTGGAACCGGCGACGGGGGCGAGAGGTAAACCCCCCCTTTTTTTCGTGGATCCCTGCCTGCACGCAAAAAAATAAATCGATTTAGAGCTAAAAAGTTAGCACCAGTGCTAATTTATCTAGCTCTGTAGGCCCAGCAAAATTTTTAGCTGCACAGCTAAAAATTATTAGCTGGGTAAATTTAGCTATGGAGAAAACGGAGATTAGTGGCATTGAAAACAACTCTGGCTGCATTAGCAGTGTAGAATTCTTCATGATTATGATATTTATTAGAAGGTGCGGGATTTTCTGTTTAAGACGGACCAGTCGTCCTGAGGCGTAAGGCTCCTCCGGGACAGACGTGTCTCAAGGGACTTTTAAAATTGCTGACCATGGGTGATGTCACGGTGAGAACATGGGGAGCATCCGTTCCCCGACTAACCCATCTCTCACTGCTAGCCACCAGCGCGAGCGAAGCGCCACGGAACGAACGTAGCCTTGCCCTATCTCCTAAACATTTTTGCTGCATTGTAAATCCCATTTTTGCAGTCATTGATTAGCACTGCAGCAAACTGAAGTAGCTGAATCCTCAAGAAATATAGGTTCCGGGAAAGCCGATCTCCGGCAGACCCTCAACTAAAGGAGCAGCGCTACTCAGCAGAGGTCGCTAGCAGAGTTGCAATTTTTTTAGCTGTGGTGCTAAAAAACGCCAACTAAGAAAGTTAGCTCTGGACTGACTTTTATTTTTTTGCGTGTGGCACCACAAATTGCATCCCGGGGTGGACAAGGAGGGCTCAACACAGAGAGGAGTAAGGTCCCGGTCAACGTGCCGTCCCGCCGCTGTATTCCGAAGAATCGTTTTGTCGCTCTGTCTCTCTCGCACTCACGGGGCGTCCAGGGTGCGAGAGAGACAGAGTGAAGAGGCGGTCCTTCGAAATCCAGCGGCTGGGGGTGACGGGGTGGAGAGAGAGTCGTGCTGGGGAAGAACGGGGGTCGGCTGAGTCAACAAATCAAGGAGATAATACACTGCTAGAGGTCTCCGCCGTTCACTGTTGCAAATGAGTCAGGGCGAAGCACGCTGTCACAGCCGCTGAATAAGGACCGAGATAAAAACCACGCCAAGTCCGTTTTCTTCCGACTCGGGTTCGAGACGGAGTACCGCCGTCGCCCGGCCAGAAAGTTGCCCCCGATCGTCCTTATGCAGGAAACCAAGTTCGGAACTAACTTGCGCAGCGCGGTGGAGAGAATATTGACTTCTTCGCAGGAAAGAAAAGTCCATTAATTACGTGGATGCTGGCAGGGCGGCCGGCGGACGGGAGATACTATGCAGACTGAGAGTTGCAAGAGTCGTTTTCGTCGCTATGGCTCTCTTGCACTCATGGGGCGTCTCGTGCGGGTGCGAGAGAGACATAGCAACGAAAACGACTCTCGAAGATTTAAAGCGAGGCGAGGGTGCTGCATAAATCTCGCCAAATCTCACATGAAGGAGGTTGAGCGAGCGACGAAAAGGGGCCAGCCTCGCGCTAGCTGCGCTGACTCTCGGGCTGCAAGCCAGGTAGTGCGAGAACAATAACCGCTATTTACTGTTCAGGGTAAAAACGCGACACGGCGAGATTGCGGCTCCAGGAGGTGGCAGGGCAGTGCGTTGCCCCGAGTCCTAATTTGAGCATCCCTTCCTTCCCCTTCCCTCCCCTTTACCTCCCCTTGCCCTCCCTCTCCCTTTTCCCTCCCCTTGCCCTCCCTTTTCCCTCCCTTTTCCCTCCCCTTGCCCTCCCTTTTCCCTCCCCTTCCTTCCTCTCCTTCCCTTTACCTTCCCCTTTCCTCCTCTTACCCTCCCTTTTCCCTTCCCCTCCCCTAGTGCCTCCTGCACCTTCCCCCGTCCGTCAGCACTGGCACCTTCAACGGGTGGACGGCATTTCGGACGGGACAAATTTGATTTCTGCTCCAGGGCACGAGCCCTTGCCGTCGAAATGGAATGGCACCTTCGGAGGATTGAGAGTGGAGCTAGGACGGCGACGGGTGCCGCTGGGAGCACTGGTACTGGTCTGTCGACGGAATATAGAAGAACACGGCAAAATGGGAGGGGAGGGGGTCACCTTTTTGCTTTGCGAGAGGAATTTTTGAATTAACTGCTGAGCAGACCACAACACACAATTCAGGGCTGGGAAATACCTAGGTAAAAAGTACCTAGGTACTTTTTTGATACCTATAACTGTACCTAGGTACTCAAGTCACAATTGTAACTGTACCTGTACCTAGGTACATTTTGGGCAGTAACTTTACCTAGAACTGCAGGTACTTTTACAGGTACTTTTGAGCGCGAATGTAGGGAAAGACGGGTAATGAGATGCGCTCACAACAGTGCGGGGATAAAGAGAGACACTCAGAGGACTGCCTGTTTTCGGGTCGGCCCCCTCCCCTTTTTATGCGCCTCCTCCGGGCTGGTCACCGCACGCACTGCCAAGGTGAACGCAGAGGACTTGCACTATGAAACAATGGACACACTCAGCAGGGATCATAGGGTTTGTCCCTAAAATGCGTTACCGGAACCATCCCATTATAGGAGCGAGGTCAAGGATGGTCCCTGGAGCCGCCGGCGATGCGGCGTGACGAATCGGGGTTGTAAACAGCACACACGTTGGCATGAAAAGGGTCATTGACGCAAGAAAGTTTAAAGGGACGAAAAAGTCGCGCGAGGTTTGTTTTGGTTGCGTTACTGGGCGGATGTGTTAAAATATCAAAATATCTGAAAGTACCTGAAAAGTACCTAGGTATTTTGCCAAAGTACCTGTAACTGTACCTAGGTACTGAGCTCGATCAAGTACCTGTAACTGTACCTAGGTACTTTTTTGATCCAGTATCTGTATCTGTACCTAGGTAAAAATATAAAGTATCTGTCCCAGCCCTGACACAATTCTGACACGTCGCAAACTGAAGAGTGATTGACCCTTTTGTCAACCTGATACCTGATAGTTGACCGAGTAGTTGTTGACGATTATTGTCGTCCTCCTGGACGGACCTGTCAGTAGCGTATGTATGCGCAAATATCGCAGCACTTCCGGACGATGAAAGTACACAATCATTCAGTGCCGACGCCGCCCTGCAATTCGGCGGATTCTCCCCACCGCTATCGGGATCTTTGCTACAGCCACTGCCTGCCGGTTCTGTTATCTCCCGCTAAATGGTGAAGGTCATAGGTGGCCGCGCAGTCCATGCATCTGACGCGGACTGCCCGTCTGTATCAGGGAGGGGTTTGGCGTCGAAGCAGTTCGCCGCAGTTTGCGCTGTGCTCCCGTCTTGTAAGGCCGACAGTTTTTTACGACTGTGGACCGCAGTGCAGTGTCTTTGTGCCTGCGGCACCGCGAACCTTCTACGATTATGTCATCTTTTCACCTGTACCAACTGTGAAATCGTTTGTAAAATACTGGTTTTTAATTCTAATGGAAGCATGATCATTTTAGCACCTGTCAGACTTAAGTCCTTTTGTTTCTTTCCTTCTTTGCTGCTGCAGGCATCCAAGTCAAAGATGAGGGTTTTCCTTTGCTTTTCATTGGTTTTGAGTGCTGTTGTAGCTCATCCTGTCAATCAAAGCACAAAAAGACCCGATGATGGACTTTTGGAACAGAAAGAAATAGTTTGTCCTCCTTCGGTTTGTAATTTTCATGTCATTTTCTTCTTGTGGCAGTTTATTGGGACTCCATTTTCATCATGTGAAATGTTTTTTCAGGACACCGACGCCTCTGAACAACTCTATCTGCATAGAGTTTTTGGAACCTTGCGCAACGATGCTACATTCCGAGAAAAACTTGTCCAAACAGACATTCAAGTAATTGATATCACATTTAATGACCATTTTTTTTATTCATAATAGTTACAGCAAACTTAGCCTAATTTACTCTTTGTGTAGTCTAGTGAAATTGCCTACGATTTGAAGTCGGCAAGCCCTGACATTCAAACACGTTTGCATGAAGGTAAGAGGATGGAAATGGAACGCCTGGGAAGGAACTGTACCTTTGGTACAAAACATATTGATTGTGCGCACCCTGATTCCTTCAAAGAAGAGGACTTGAAAAAGACTTTGTCTGTGGTTGGTATTTGCGATGGTTTTAATCACAATTTCCTCTAAAACCCCATTTGATTCTCTTTTTCGTCCTATCAGACGATAAAGTACTTCGCAGTACAATTTTTGGGTACTCCCAACCCGAAAACTTTCTTCCATCTACATGGTGAGCATAGTTTTCCTCTTGTAGTTATTCTTACCTAGTTGAAAGCGAAGTTGAATTCGTCACAGTATGACTGATTTTGCTGATCCATTTATTCTAGATCGCAATGGAAATGGTGTGTTGGAATTCGAAGAAGTTAAGGCCATGATAAAAGCTCAGTTAACTTTTCTGAGAAAGTGCAGTAGAGACTCGAAGACGGATTTAGATGAAGCATCTGCAGCTGCTCTAAAAGACCGCCTGGAGCGTGTATTCCAGGATGGAGACACCAACAAAGATGGCCTCACTACTTATGAAGAATTTCAACGGATTTTCATGACAGGAGTTCTGACATGGTTTGACTTTCTGGCTGTCATAGATGAAGTCATAAAGCAAACTCTTGATGGCCTGGCCAGAGGCTTGAAACAGGTTGTTGAAGTGTTAAGACACTAGTGCTTTTTACGTCTTCCCTCAAAAAGTTTTTCACTCTGTCCGTTACGCGACCAAAACGCTGAGAAATTTTATGAGGCCTTATTCCCAATTTCTCAAGGCCTCATTTTCATTGCGCGTTTGTCGTTGGAGCTTGAATCCAGCCCCCGCTAAGACAGGAACCCTGTTCGAATGGCGCAGTCCCATTGTGTCCGTTCAGTATGTCAAACAAATAAAAAATAAATACAAAAATTAATGTTTTTGTGGCGGTGTTCCTGGTTGTCGGAGGCGCGTGCCCGGGTGCGTGGTGCTAGACTTAAGTCACAGGAGGGCCGTTTGGCGGCGGCAGACGACACGCGACCGCCATAATCCGTGCAACAAACACCCTTCCCAACTTGGTGTCGTCAACAACATCCTATCTACCAGGGATCCTTAACTTACCTCATAAGGGCATCATAACGTTATCATAAGAGTTAAAGTTATTACCCTTAACTTCTAACATCTTTTCAAAAGGGTAAGTTATTTCTTTTTGTCTCGAACTTGTGTGAATATACTTTTGGAAGTACTTGCAGAAGTCCGTACCCTTAACCTTTAGGGGACATTGTCTAATGTTACGTTATGAAAGCAGTGTTAGTTAAATGTTAAGTTAAGGATCCCTGCTATCTACACTGCCAATCCAAGTGAGACAGTCTCACACTATTTAGTACGAACCACGATGTCTCACGCTTACAAGCGTGAGCCACGTGTGTCCCACGCTTGCAAGTGTGAGGCAAGCGTGAGACACGGTTTGTCTCACACTTACGAGCGTGGATCCTGTGGCATTAAACCACGGGGAACCAATGGTTCCGAACCATAGGCTGTAAGAGTGGGACAAACCGATGTCTCACACTTGCAAGCGTGGGACAAACGTGCGAAATTTTTTTTCTCCAAACGACAAAACTCTCTTGGAGATTGATCAAGGTGACCTTTTTGTCTCCAAGCTTTTGTTTCCGCTGCCGTGGCCGCTTGACTGTAATCACAAGCTGGCGGGGGAATTCCGCGGACTGATTCCGAGGGTCGTTGTCGTCGCTGTCTCTTCCACACCTGCAGGAGACGCTCCGAGTAGGAGAGAGACAGAGCGACGAAAACGACTCAGAATCAGTCTGTGGGAAATCACTGGGAGGCGCCGTCTTTTGTCTCGGGACAGACAATCCAAATCGAAGCCGGAAATTAATTTCTTCGCTCACATCGCTAGACTTCCTCAATCCTGACGTCGACGTTTTATATCTATTATTTTGGCGCGCGAATGGTTCGTCCCGTGCACGATGCACGTCATGCTAGACGCAACCCTCCCCGCCCCTCCTCTCCTCCCGATTGCACTTAGGCCGCGCCGAGCTCACTCCCCACACGGCCCCACCGCGCCATACATTAATAATCCCAAAATTCGGCGCGTATAAAACGAGCGCAACCGCGGCGGCGCGAAAGCAGCTTGGTGCACCGCCGCCGTCGGAGCAGCTGGAGCGGACCAGTGGCTTCGCGTGGATAGATCAACCGACCTGCTCGGCGAAAATGAAAAAAAGAACAAAATCAGTGGAGCGGAGGGAGACGAGAGCAGGGGGTTGGGGGAAACGGGTGGGGGGCAGGTGCCTCACCACAAGCAATCGAGGGAGCGAAGGTATTAGACGGGATTGTGTACTCACAAACATGAATTATGAATGACGGTTAATATGAAAGCTAGCAGTATGTGCACACAGACACGTATCGACTCACCCCACGAGCGGGCACACACACACGCACACACTCGTACACACACCAAAGCCCAATCGCACCACGCGGCAGGCAAACGCGCTCGCATCCCGGTATAAGACAATCTCTCTCCGGTCTGGCTGACTAGACGCAAAGCACCGTGCCCACACACTCGAAAACACACACACACACACACACACAATGTCGGGAAAAAAATTCCGAGTCAACATCGCCAATCCTGCCACCACAAAGCAAGCTCTTCTCGACGCGAACTGGGCAATATGAAGCTCACACACCGCTGCCGAGCCGAGACCCGCGGCAAGCCTGCAGAATACAAACAAGAGGAGCACTATGATTTCATTTTGTTTTTGTTTATGACTTCATTGCCCGTTTGGAAGCCAACGCGTGGCACTGACAGGGGCCGACAAATAATACGACGAGCGGGGCCACTGCACATTTTCGGAATAAATGGCCGAAAACGCTGTCCCCGGACTGCTCTCGGGTGCGGAAATAAAATGCAAAACCGAGCAGCGCGAAGGTCTTCGTTTTGTTTTCGTTCCAGCCATGATCCCCCTGCAGCGCACTGCCTAAAGTAATGTATTGGACGAAATGTCGGAGTTCGTCGGGGAAATTACGGGTGGTTTCGTTTCTTAAAAGGGGCACATTTTTACCATACCTTTTGACATCTCATAAAACATGTACAAACCTTTCTCTACACAGTAAATGTCTTACGGTGAAAGGCTGCACCAACATATTATGCTGAAGATTTCTCCATATTACCAACAAAATTCGTCAAAATATCATTAAGGTTCAGTGAATTCTCAATGGTTTGTTATAAAGTCAGCTGCACCACCATAAAATGGAACATTTTCACCATAATATGGAGAATTTTCAGTGTACAACATTTAGAGTGTAGTCTGAAGTTAAGTCCCCTGACGAGTTTGCTTTTAGGTGTGTACCCTAGTTCTTACGATTAAGCGATCCTAAACTTGTTCCAAAATTGCTAATTGTTGTTATAATTGCCATCTGCATCTAACCAACTATTTTTCGTTTGACGTGTTTGCGTTGCACGGTTTTGGATTTGGATGCATCATCATAGCATCTGCAGTGGACGGCCCCTAAAAAAAGGGGAAAAACGCATTTTAATGAGGATGTAATTTTTTTCGTGAGAGCTTTGATTTTATTTATTCATTGTTTTTACGTCGAGGGCGGGGGACTCAGTTTAGCCCCGGGCATAATGCATTCACAACTAAAGCCATGCAATTGTGCAGTCATGGTGGTGGGCCTGTGGCCACCAAAGGCTGGCGGGCTGTGTCCGGCTGGGGTCGCGCGTTGCGTGCGGCGTTTCCGTCCTGTTCGCAATTGCGGCCGATGAGCTGACGCACAATGTTCCTGCACTATGTACCATGACTATTGTATTATTTGTGCTGGTGTCAACTATGTACCGGTGCTTAAGCATCCGGACCTGGCAGCATTCTGACATCCGTAACTCTTTCCTTATAAATTCTATACCTTTATAGAAATCTTTATAATTCTTATACCATCTACTTAAAATATCGACGTTCGTTTTAACGCTAACTTACTACGATTAGTCAGGATTTTTTTCTCCGCGTGCAATAAGTCTCTGTAGGCGATTTTGGTAAACGTTACGGAATTCGCGAATCACGAGTTGAGGCAAGTTATGGATCCCTGCTCTTGTCGCCAAACACCGCCGGCACGCAGAGATTCCAAGTGGGCAACTCCACCCATAAAAAACTTGTCGAGCGCGGTGTGGCCGCGCTGGTGTGGCTTCGCAGCCGGCGCTACAGGCTGCTTCCCCTCAGTGCCTGCGACGTCGCTGTCTCTCTCTCGCGCTCAAATGGTTTCGTCCCACTGAAGTGCGAGAGAGACAGAGCGACGAAGCGCCGTTCGGAATCAGCCTGGGTGGCGCGTGCTGCGACTGTCTGGAGAAGGTGACTGCCTCACGTCGCATTATGAGACAGGCGCCTCAGCCCCCTCTTCCTCTCCCTCTCCCTTTCTCTCTCTCCCTCTCTCTCTCTCTCTCTCTCTCTCTCTCTCTCTCTCACACACACACACAAACACAGACAGACGAGGCTAAATTGTGCGGCTCACATGATTGTCATTCTTCGTCCCAATTATCTTATTCTGGGTGTCGCTTTTGTCTTTGTGTGTGTGCCCCTGGCTTCCGACGCCCGAGAGGCGACACGCACACACATGCCTCAACGACACACGCACACACACGGACGACGCACACACACACGCACGCCAGCGTGTTATTGTCAAGCCGCGGGGCACGGCGGCGGTGTGTGCGGCCGCCGATTCCAAGCAGCGGGCCGCTTCCGAGAGTCGTTCTCGTCGCTCTGTCTCTCACGCACCCGCATGGGACGCCTCATGAGTGCGAGGGAGACAGAGCGACGGAAACGACCCTCGGCATGAGTCCGCAGGAAACGAGTAAACTGCAATAAAGACCGCCGCCCCTTTTGGGGGAATGGGAGCTTAATTTTTAATTCGTCCCCGAGCATTCCATAATTAGACCTCGGTGTGTTACACGCCGACTAATGACGGGTCTGCCGCGCCAGACGCGCCGTGTCCAGTGCCGTGTGCTTTTGGTTCAAAATTTATGGGGCTAGAGGGGAGGTTGTAGAAATGCCCACAGCAGTGAAGCATGCAAAGGACAAGTGTCCTCAACTTACCCCAAAAGGTGGTCCAACTCTGCTTATGACCTCAGTCTTGGCTGGAAAACCGAAAAAAAATTATGAATGCAACTGATAACAGTCCTGTGGAACTGAACATCGTTTGAGGTTGGTGAAAAAGTCTGACACTTGACCAAAACCAACGTCAAATATAGTCGCAAGTAACCATGTGGTGATTTGAACTGGCTCCCGAAATGTGTGCCATAGAGTTTGCCGTCTTGCTATCTTTTTACCAGTCCAGTCAGGAATCACTGGCAAAACTAAAGCAGAACATTGCGCCTTTCGCCAATGTGTCCACTCCGTACGCCCTTCTTGGATCGCATACGACACACATTGCGAGAAAAAAGTATACAGAAAAAGTACGGAACATGTCTGGTCAATTATTTGCCTGGACCGTCGGGTATACCCGATTACTTAAGTTCTTATGCAACAAGTAAGGACGCTGCGTACTTTTTTCAGTACTTGCGTACTTTATTTGTCTGTACATTTTCTGTAAACAGAAACGGATTTTTTACGGTGCACACCCTCAGATTCCTATGATGAAAGGGTCATCGTAACATACGTTGAAATGAGAACATACGTACTACAATCAAATTCATGCGTAATACGATGAAATTTATGCGTAATACGATGATATACATGCGTTATACGATGAAATTCATGCGTAATACGATGAAAAATTAAGCATATTACGTATGTGCAAATTTATGCGTACCTTACGATGAAAAACCATCGTAATACGTATAAAAACGATCATAAGATGTTGAGTGTGCAAGAGCTCCTTTCAAGCGCTCCTTTCCTCCGATATCAAAATGCACGGAGGAGTTGCCTCGA